AGGTCAATGGGGCGTGGGTCTGGTTTTATAAGGTTCCAGGAGGCGGTTCCTGTGGGCTCCAATTGGTCTGAATACACCAGCGCCAAAGGGAGGGGGGGTGGACGCGAACATATACAATACTGTTGCGGCAAGGGGGGGGGTTGCAAGGGTTTGAAGTCAGTAGTGGTGGTGGGGCGGCTTGAAGAGTGGTTACCATAGTAGCCGCGGTTGCTTGGTCAAAAGGGGGAGGGGGAACGGAAAGCTGGCTCGCCATCGCCGTGCACTGTCAGGGTGGTCGACATGTGAAAATGTGAACGAAGGGCCGAGACCGGAGGAGGGCAGTATTCAGTCATGGGCGGCCAGCGTTCTAGGGACAAGGTGGGCAGCCTTCGGAAGAGTGTAAACAATCATTTTGTAGGTCGGACAGGAGTCTCATAGGAGAACAGATGTGGAGAATTCCAAACTTGTTCAGCCGGAAATAACAGTAACTATTCGGGCAAATTTCGGGCAAAGCCACCTGTACTGCTTATAAGCCAGTAAACAATAACGGGTTCATGGCTGTAATAGAGGGCCCACGATGTAGGCTTGTTAATATATGCCTTTTATACGATGACAACTACTTATCTATCAGAAATGTTAGGAAAAGGCTAGGTCCTTTTTTATATCGAAATGTTCGCGCATTTGTTTTGGTCCTTAGAGTTTGTTTCTGCGGGCTAAAAACTAAACGAGGACGCCAACCGCTCATAGCAGCGGAAGTATATAGGACCTGGCAAGCCTTCCACTTGTTGAGAAAGGCATATCACGTTCAAAGGTGTTTGCCTATAATTCCCTTAAAATTTGACTTGATGTAATTGGGTTATAAAAAAATGTGGAAGCCGTTTTCAAAGGATTAACACTAAACTCATGTACATTTTCACGGTCATCGAGTGCCATTCTCCTGCGACATATTCTTTATTCACCCGATTCCTTATAGCAATACCCAGAACCATTTGGTCCCTGCAGAGCTAATCTTTATTTCGTACGATGACTAGCAGAGGTTACACAACCTGCCAAAAGCCCTACGCTGACGCGCCGTTGGCGTGCTCCTTACGCGCGCCACTCGTATCATGCTTTCTCCTCTCAGTGCCTTATAGGCTTTCTCTTCAGGTAGGCCGTGCGCTTTACTGAGACCGGTGATCGTAATAAAAAAAACGTCCCTAAAAGAAAACACCCCCTAGATACTACATTTGAGATCCTTTACTCTTGCGGTTTTAATTGTAAAGTCACAGAAGCTAATAAGCTATCTTTGGAGGCAAAAAAACTCACCGATTCTGCTCAAACATTCTTCGGTGATAAAGTAAGACAATATTTTCTCCCGGCATGAGCGTTCAGCTCAATATTGGACGAAAAACAAGCCTGTTATATGTAGAGATAAAACCCCTATGGAACGTCGGTTTTAACCCTCATTAGCAAGCAAGAAGTCTAAGCCCACCTCTACAACAGCAAAAGTTGTCTCTGAGGTTGCACCTCTAGCCAACGTAAGCCTACGTCTCTCCGGATCAACGGCAATTTTAATTTCACCAGAGACTTCACCGGTTCACCTTACTCCTGATTAAAGTAAAATCGTGTCAACGCCAATTCGTTTCCCTTCCCAGGCAACCACGCCTGTTATAACTGTAAAATTTAGTAAACCCAATAGAATAAGTCAGTTGCTATGCCAGTTGCCAAAATGAGAATGTAATTAAAAGTTCTTGACCGTGACCGCGGTTGGTTTAAATTGTGAAACAAAGTGGAAGATTTATATAAATCGATCTATTCAAGAAAAGAAAAAGACTTTGAGTCTTCGTATTTATCATACAAATCATCTGCATTAGCATCGTTTAATTTGGAAATATGACAAATTCAAAATTCCCCACGTGTAAAAAAAACGTTAATGCCATGAACAAGGCTGTCTTCTGTGTCCTATGTAAACAATGGGTACACATAAAGTGCGCGAAGATAGCCCCAGAAATGTAAAAAGTCCTCAAGGAATATGACTCAGAAGGGCTCGTGCTCTTTTGTAGCGCATGCAAAATAAGATTTCTTGACAAGGACGCGGCTGACATAAACATCGCTTCACAAGAGGAAGACCAAGCCCCGGAGCAAGGTATTAACCAGCCTGAAATTGAG